TTGAAACAACAATGCATACATTCAAACAAATTATTATCTTAACTTGAATTGTATAATATTATTTTGCCTCTCAATATACTGAAAAGCACTTGGCATGAATTCATGCTCATTGCAGCTGCCCTTTTTATACATTCATCCATCTAACTTTAAAGGGTTGGATCCATCTCTCGGTCCTCAAGGTGCACGGCATGTTTCAGATTTCTCTCTGCTTTAACACAATTGACTCAGAGGATCGCAGTTCAGCAAAGCTTGTCAATCTGCTATCAGTTTATATCAGGTTTGTGAAAGCTGGGAAACATCCATGACATGTAGGGCAGCGTGCCTAGAGGACTGGGATTGAAAAACATTTGGCTATGTAACCCAGAGTGCTACTTTAAGCCATTCTGAGCTCCTCTCACAAAAGAGCTAACCAAGCTAGAAAAGTTTTGGTAGGTATCAAAAAATATGTGGGAGACTGTAAATTGGCCTCACGTATTTTAAAAATGTCCAACTTTCTAAAAAAAAAAAATTGTCTTAAGAACTTTTTATCTCCGAACAAAGCTGGAAGTCTACAGTTGATAAAAAAAAAACTGACTAATAATCATGTATATTATTCTGATAAGAAAATAAGATATTAAAATAAGTTGTTGAAATTACCATCAAAGAAAATGTGAGCATCTCAGAGAATGGATCATCTTATAAAGTTATTTGGATCTATTTTTTATTTTTACCATTTCTTGCAGATGTAACAGCTGTTGTCCAAACCCCGCTGAATGTCTTAGCAGCAGTGGGTGAAGATGCTCCTCTCGGCTGTCAGCTCCTGGAAACTAAAGATGTCCAGCAGGTCACCTGGCAGAAGGTCTTTGGGAGCAAAGAGAGGAATATCTGCTCCTACAGCGAGTATTTTGGTCAAACAGTGAATCCTGACTTTAAAGATAAAGTCCAGTTTACAGAAGCTGGACTGAAGAATTCCTCCATAGTTATCAGGAAGGTTACAGAGCAGGATGAAGGATGTTATCTCTGCTTGTTCAACATCTACCCTGATGGAGCTCTGAGAGGGAGAACCTGCCTGAAGGTTTATGGTAAGAACCAGACTGTATTCCAGGGTTAACTTCTATAACTAGATGTTGATCATGATGTTTATTCTTCTCTCAGAGCTGCATGAACCCGTCCTTGATGTGAGGAGATTAAATGTTTCTGCAGAGTCAGTTGTGTCCTGTTCAGCCACAGGTCGACCTGCTCCCACTGTAACACTGACTGTTCTACAGCAGAACCTCAGCTTCTCCCACTACAACACCAGCAGTGTGACCCACAGCAACGGTACAGTCACCGTCACCACCACAGCTCTGCTGTCAGCTT